GATTTGTGTGTGTGTGTGTGTGTGTGTGTGTGTGTGTGTGTGTGTGTGTGTGTGTGTGTGTGTGTGTGTGTGTGTGTGTGTGTGTGTGTGTGTGTGTGTGTGTGTACTCACCTAGTTGTACTCACCTAGTTGAGGTTGCGGGGGTCGAGTCCGAGCTCCTGGCCCCGCCTCTTCACTGATCGCTACTTGGTCACTCTCCCTGAGCCGTGAGCTTTATCATACCTCTGCTTAAAGCTATGTATGGATCCTGCCTCCACTACATCGCTTCCCAAACTATTCCACTTACTGACTACTCTGTGGCTGAAGAAATACTTCCTAACATCCCTGTGATTCATCTGTGTCTTCAGCTTCCAACTGTGTCCCCTTGTTACTGTGTCCAATCTCTGGAACATCCTGTCTTTGTCCACCTTGTCAATTCCTCTCAGTATTTTGTATGTCGTTATCATGTCCCCCCTATCTCTCCTGTCCTCCAGTGTCGTCAGGTTGATTTCCCTTAACCTCTCCTCGTAGGACATACCTCTTAGCTCTGGGACTAGTCTTGTTGCAAACCTTTGCACTTTCTGTGTGTGTGTGTGTGTGTGTGTGTGTGTGTGTGTGTGTGTGTGTGTGTGTGTGTGTGTGTGTGTGTGTGTGTGTGTGTGTGTGTGTGTAGATTCACTCTCTCCCAGCTCCAAAAGTCTTATCGTATCTCTTTTTAAAGTTATGTATTGATCCTGCCTCTACTATGTCACTCTCCAGATTGTTCCACTTACTGATAACTCTAAGACTGAAGAAATACTTCCCAACATCCCTATGTCTCATCTACGTTTTCAACTTCCAGTTGTGTACCCTTGTTCCTGTATTCGTGTATCCCATCTGTGAAATATTCTTTTTTTTTCTTGGGGTGTGTATCTGTGTGGGAGGTAACTAACACACCGGTGATGCAGTTATCAACCACACCCAACTAACCTTAACCAATAATTCACTTATTTCACTTTACATTCATATCTGCCCCCCTCTGCAACCTCCGTCTCATCTTACAACCTTCCTCACTTCATATTCCCTCACCTTCCCCTCCTCCCCTTCCATCAGCCCGTGGCCTTCACCGTCAAACATGCCTTGTCACACCACGCCCTAAGCACAGTTATCCTCCCCTAACACATAACTGCTTCAATCCCATTACCCAAGGACGCAAATTGCTATTCCCTGCTCTCCCTCCTTTCTCATCACCATCACTCTCACTACCCCTCCCTCTCACTCTCGCCAACCATTCAATCACCATCGTCCTTTCGAAGTGCTTCCAATTTCGTCATCCATGACACACAAAATGTCCTTCCCTGTCCAACAAAACACAAGGAGAGGACGGGGGCACCAACTTATATGTATATCATTCTTTACATGAACAAAGTCGCAAGTTGCAGCTGAGTATTGGCAAAAACCTGTCTAACCGGAGCGTAGTGGGGGAAAACAGATGAACTAGGCAGTGAAAACCATGTGGGTGATAGTGTTGCTAACACTAAGTATGTCATGTGGGTTTTTCGATAACGTGGATAGGGTAAGAATACTCACGTAGGCTGGTAGTACGTATAATATAACGGAAAGTGTGGGAAAGCACCAACAGCCGACCTGCCTCTCTCTGCTCCCTATCTTGACTGACCCATGAGTGCCTAAGGGTGAGGGTGGTTGAAATCCTGCTATGGTCAGCAGCAATATGAATACAGTCAATGATTCACACAGACAGTTGGTAGTGAGTCATCTACTGGTATACTGGTTACTGGTTACTAGGAACTGGTACTACTACTGAGAGCTCGGCGACGCTAACGTATGTCGTCCCGACATACAACTAATACAAACTAGAGATGGCAGGTGTACGGCTTGGGCTGATTCTATACAATGTCAAAGTACACAATAATTGAACATTATAACATACATAAGTAGAATATTGGAATGGAAGCTTACATAAGTGAAACTGCAATGCAATACAAGGTATAATATAGCACAACTCATCGAATGAAACTCAACGTTGAGATTACACAATCGAAGTTATAAAAAAAATTTGATCGATCGATCTGTATTCATGTGATCTACGGATTCTGAGGAAGGAATATATACAAAGAAAGAAGTGTTTAACAGAAAGGCAGATTCGGTGCACTCAAATCTAGACTGTTAACTCTCAGAATTCGGAGAGAACGTGAACACAAAAAAAAAAATTCTTGAACACTGATAAGTTGATACTGTAATTATTCATCTATACAGGTTACTTACATTTAACCCCAACTCTGCTAGGGTGAGATTGACATATGCAGAATGGGTGTCATCTCTGGGAGGATCAAACTCTGTAGCACTGGCTAACTCATGCTGTATTTGAGGCAAATCTGAATTGGTAGTTACAAATGATACTTGAGGATTTCTCAATACCTGTCGTGTACGTAGGGAATAACGACATTCAGGTTGATCGTCTGACTGAGTATCAGAGGTAGAGAGTACAGGATCAGGAGGATTGTCAAGAGTCTGTCACATTAGTCTGGGTTGGAGCATCATTATCATCACATACTAACTTCATATGATCTAAATGCGATTCTTTATACTGACCAGTACTAATTTCTCTAACCTTATACTGATTACCAGTGATATATTCAACTACTCGATAAGGACCAACAAACTTTTGATCAAGCTTAGGCATTGGCAGACGTTTTTGTTAATGTTAGTCAGCATAACTCTCGAACTTACTTTGATTTTGGATGGCTTTTGCTCGAGTGTTTGGGTCTTGTAAATTCTGCTGTTTTTTATGAAATGTTTCACGGTTCTTTTAAAAAAA